GGATAATTTCAGAGACGCCTAAGTCATCACAAAAAAGAAGCTGTGTAAATTGGTGATGATGATGATGATGCATTGCAAAATTGCCTCTATCAAATTCTTTAGTTCTAGGAGTTTTTTACACACTATATAGATAACGAACCGTCTCAGATTAATGTAACAGATAGCAACCAACAAAGTGAATATAATAAAAATCTAATAATGCGGTAATTGGATCATCATGGGATAGCTAATATCGCTATAATCATGTGTATACTTATTATAGCAGATAAAGAGAAAATACCATGAACATTGGAGAAAAAGATGAAACAACAGAGCACTTTGTATAGTTGAATGAAAAAGCATGTAGCAAATTAACCAAGGCGATATTACTCATAAATGGACTGGTATATGCACAAAATTTAGATTGACAAAACGAACTTGTGGTTAAAGCAACTTAACATCTATGCTATATCAGCAGTAGTTAGAAACGTCGTGTAAAAAGTAAAAATTATTTAACTAACCAATTGTAGAGTCCTGTCATCTCTCATATAGGGTGAGCACGTTTTCAAAATTTGGGTTTCAGATGAGCTATCTGAGACAGATAATTTTGTAGACTCAAGTACCATTTGAGAGGAGAAGATAGATGAAATTTTCGGGAGTCCCGATGTTGTCTCGGCTTGGCAAATATATCGCTCTAGGGAGGAATCCTTACTAACACTTGCCTTATTCGCTTGAACACTGGGCGTCTTTTCATTTTTCTCGCCCCGCCTGCTACATAGAGTGCAGTTCATATCGTAAATATGGCGACCGTGCTCAAAAGTAGTGTCACGGAACACAGAAACTGAAGCCATCGAGGTGCTACTATTAGGTTGGGCATTTTTTACAAGATCCAAAACCTCCATTGAGCTGGGATCTCCTTCTAGTCGCCGGCCTGGCTCAGTGGAAAGAATCTCACAAGAGCCCGAGAGAAGACTAGAACCTTTCTGGTTCAAGTGACCTGGTTGAGCTATTGTGATATGTTGATGAGGACTGATGCTGGTGTCAGTGGTAGATTGAAGATCTTGAACTAAGGAGGGCTGAGTTGGAGCAATGGAACCAAGGCTAGTATAACTAGAAGTAACATCATTAATAGTGGACAACTAAAAGAAAGTAAAATTAAAACAAGTGATTACACGCTGAAAAAATGTTTAAACTGAACGTTTTCTGTAAAAATTAGACAATGTCTACTTCGATTTTAAAGCAAATGATAATTAGAAAATTGATGTAAGGAGATGAAAAATGGAAACAAAAAATACAGAAGGGATTTGCTGCTAGGCAGACAAAAAAGTTATATATTTAAGCTTTAAATAAAGATTTTAAAATCTAAAAGTCATTAATCTTTGGTCAGCTGATTATCTGAATCTCGATATAAAGACTAACTATGAACGTACAAAGAAAAATACAACTGCTCAGCGGAATGGTGATCAATGGACGGATTTAACCCGCCTCAGGCGAGTCAAAAAGTAGGTGCTAAGAATTATAAGACTTACTTTAGAGGTGTGTACTTTTTAGCAAATTTTGCAGAACTTAATTGCACTCTTCGTAAGTTTACTCTTGTCCCTCCTCTTCTATTGCGTCAGAAATATTGATCTGATTTGGCCATTTCAGTCTGCAATCCACTTTGTCACTTCAATTCATTTCAACTCTTATTAGATCAATTCGTGTGCACCCTCCTTTCTCATTTATCGAGTTCACTGCTTTCATCACTGTTGAATGTGAAGTTGATGAAACTTATTGTCAAATTTATCATTCATGTTAAGGACTCCTGGATAACTGCGTCTCGTTCGAAAATCCCTTGCAAACGTTATGGTATTGCTCCTGGTTTATGCAACTTAATTAGAAGTTTAACTCAAACACTGTTAATGGAAACCAAAAATTTAACTATCAGTCTCCCATATTAAACGAAATAGGGTGAACACAGTTTTAAGCAAAAACCTCCGTGGCCCCTAAGGCCTACTTAAAAAGTAAAATCCCTAATCTTATTGTAAAGCCCCTCTGTTGGGTCTTTTCGTAAAGCCTTATGTCTCAATGTCATGTAAATAAATAAATATATTTTTCAAATAACCATGAGTTCAGGTTCTGGCTGTCTGTCATATAATGGACAAAAGTTCATTCCGAGTACTCGTGGAAATCGTATTTAAACAAATCAGTTGCAGAAGTCAGCCATCTTCACGTGGGGAGATCGACCTACGAATCTCCCTATCATGCATTCTTAAATAAGGAACTCATGGCTCTGAGGAGATCATGGAATGAGAAGAAAATATCTTGAAGAAAGATAGATACAGAAGCAGCCTTTAGAATGACTGAACAACCTGACAATAAGGACGATCTACCCCCTATTTAGTCGCGGTAGTAACGAACAAATATTTGGACTTTCTATGGGATCGCAATTCTGATCCTTTTTGGAAAACCTATATGCGGGCAGATTAGAAATTCAATTCGAGACGCCAAAGCTGCAACCAAAAGTGCTCATGTGAAACTTGAGTTACTATACATATTCGTCGCATAATAGAAAAAATTTA